GGGCTGAGAGCAGCCATAACTGCTCCCTCCTCCGCCCTGTTGATCCTGTGGGACCCGCCCCGCCCAAGCCCTGCACAGAGGCATTTGCCGGATAGCCTCAGGCAAAGGCTAGATTAGCACCTCCCTAGAGGACACAAGTTCTTCCACTGCAGACACAGCTGATTAACACAGCCAGTTGGCCTGGAGGTCAAATCCCTCTAGTATTAACTACAACAATCAAGGCTTAACTACAACAAGACTGCGCACAAAGACCACTAGGGGGTGTACCAAGAAAGCGTAAAAAATGCGGAGACAAAGAAACAGGACAAAACTATCAAGGGAGGATATTGAGTTCAGAACCACACTTTTGAGGTCTCTCAAGAGGCTTCTAGAGTCTGTCGATAAACTTGATGAGATGTACAGGAAATCTAATGAGACCCTCGATGGTGTGATAAAGGACCATCTAGAAAGTAAGCATACACTGACTGAAATAAAGAATATTATACAGACTCCCAACAGCAGACCAGAGGAGCGCAAGAATCAAGTCAAAGATTCGAAATGCGAAGAAGCGAGAAACACCCAACCGGAAAAGCAAAATGAAAAAAGAACCCAAAAATACGAAGATAGTGTAAGGAGCCTCTGGGACAGCTTCAAACGTACCAACATCAGAATTATAGGGGTACCAGAAGATGAGAGAGAGCAAGATATTGAAAACCTATTTGAAGAAATAATGACAGAAAACTTCCCCTACCTGGTGAAAGAAATAGACTTACAAGTCCAGGAAGCGCAGAGAACCCCAAACAAAAGGAATCCAAAGAGGACCACACCAAGACACATCATAATTAAAATGCCAAGAGCAAAAGACAAAGAGAGAATCTTAAAAGCAGCAAGAGAAAAAAAGTCAGTTACCTATAAGGGAGTACCCATACGACTGTCAGCTGATTTCTCAACAGAAACTTTGCAGGCCAGAAGGGAGTGGCAAGAAATATTCAAAGTGATGAATAGCAAGAACCTACAACCAAGATTACTTTATCCAGCAAAGCTATCATTCAGAATTGAAGGTCAGATAAAGAGCTTCACAGATAAGGAAAAGCTAAAGGAGTTCATCACCACCAAACCAGTATTATATGAAATGCTGAAAGGTATCCTTTAAGAAGAGGAAGAAGAAGAAAAAGGTAAAGATACAAATTATGAACAACAAATACACATCTATCAACAAGTGAATCTAAAAATCAAGTGAATAAATAATCTGATGAACAGAATGAACTGGTGATTATAATAGAATCAGGGGCATAGAAAGGGAATGGACTGACTATTCTTGATGGGGATGAGGACAGTGGGTGGAGAGTGAGGGCGGAGGGTGGGGTGGGAACTGGGAGGAGGGGAGTTATGGGGGGGAAAAAAAGAGGAACAAATGAAATAATCTGAACAATAAAGATTTAAAAAAAAAAGATTAAAAAAACACAACAACAAATGGCAGAGTGGAGCCCAGCCCCTGGCCTGCTGGCTCCCTGGATCTCTAAGAACTCAGCCAGCTCTTGAGCAGCTCGGAGGACACCAGCGTGGACAGGGAGGGTATCCTGGCTGCTTGAGTCGGTCCAGAGGCCAGCAGCAGGTGCTACCCGCCAAGGAAGCTGGTTAGAGACGCCTGTGATCCGAGCTGCCTCCCGGCAAGCCCAGGTGCTCTTCATGTGGAGGGACTGCAGCTGCCTGAGCCGGGCAGGGGCCTGAGCCGGGCAGGGGCCTGAGCTGGGCGGTGGGGCCTGAGCCGGGCGGTGGGGCCTGAGCCGGGCGGTGGGGCCTGAGCCGGGCGGTGGGGCCTGAGCCGGGCGGTGGGGCCTGAGCCGGGCGGTGGGGCCTGAGCCGGGCGGTGGGGCCTGAGCCGGGCGGTGGGGCCTGAGCCGGGCGGTGGGGCCTGAGCCGGGCGGTGGGGCCTGAGCCGGGCGGTGGGGCCTGAGCCGGGCGGTGGGGCCTGAGCCGGGCGGTGGGGCCTGAGCCGGGCGGTGGGGCCTGAGCCGGGCGGTGGGGCCTGAGCCGGGCGGTGGGGCCTGAGCCGGGCGGTGGGGCCTGAGCCGGGCGGTGGGGCCTGAGCCGGGCGGTGGGGCCTGAGCCGGGCGGTGGGGCCTGAGCCGGGCGGTGGGGCCTGAGCCGGGCGGTGGGGCCTGAGCCGGGCGGTGGGGCCTGAGCCGGGCGGTGGGGCCTGAGCCGGGCGGTGGGGCCTGAGCCGGGCGGTGGGGCCTGAGCCGGGCGGTGGGGCCTGAGCCGGGCGGTGGGGCCTGAGCCGGGCGGTGGGGCCTGAGCCGGGCGGTGGGGCCTGAGCCGGGCGGTGGGGCCTGAGCCGGGCGGTGGGGCCTGAGCCGGGCGGTGGGGCCTGAGCCGGGCGGTGGGGCCTGAGCTGGGCAGGGGCCTGGGCCGGGCGGTGGGGCAGGCCAAGCTGCGGGGGAAGGACAGAAAGGTCCTGGTGGATTCGGGCGGCTGTGCCTCGGTGCGCACCTCTGGAGAGCGGCCCAGCGTCTCTGTGGCCGCAGGTCTGGTGTGACGCGCTGCATCACCAGTGCACTCTGTGAGGGGCCAGTGGTCAGCCAGGCCAAGGAGGACCCCGCTCTGTGACGTCCCCCCTGGGAGGGGAAGTTTGCAAGAAGCAGATGAAGCACAAGGGTCCACCCAGGAAAACAGTGAGTCAGGTGACGTGGCCGATGCGGGTGCTGACCCTCCCACAGTCAGTGCACATCCTGGGGGCACCGAGGTGTGTCCCTTTCCTGCCCACAGGGCCCAGGGCTCCACTGGGCACCCCAGTGGCGTGGCCTCAGTCGCCTCATTACCCACACAAGGCTCACGCTCCTGGCAGCCTGAGGCGGCATTGCCATGTGCTGGCGGGGCCCCCATCTTGGGTCGCTGGGCCCCTGGAGGCCCCCTCACTGATCTGTAGTCCTTGGTACCCCTCGGGCCGGTGAGGAGCCCGTCTCTGGGTTTGCACAGGGCAGGACGGAGGCAGCCCGGCCCCCAGAGCCCAGAAGGCGGCAGAGGTCACCCCTCACGGGAACGGCAGAGCCTGTCCACCACCTAAATAAATGCCAGGCTGCGGTGGCATCACCCGTCAGCCTCGCCCTGGTCTCCTCCCTGGCTCAGTCCCCTCCTACCCAGGGCCTATGTGGGGCACTTCTCAGGGGCTGGGGATGCCCCCCACGGGCACTCTCGATCTCACCTGGCAGAGGGAGGGCCCAGAACCTCCTCCTCAGGCTCTTCCCCGGCACAGCCGGGGCCGTGACGAGTACGGGGTGTGCGGCTGGTCACGGGCCACACGGTGCTGTGGGGGCCTATCTGGCGGGGCGAGCGTCCCCTGGTCCCTGCTGAGGATCCTTGGGCAGAGCCGTGTGCGAGGGCAGGAGGAGAGCGGCGGGCTGGCACAGGCCATGGGCCTGGAGGCCTGGGCAGTCTGTTCTGAGCCCTTGGGTGAGGCCCCGCAGGGGCAGGAAGGTGTGCACAGAACAGGTGCCAGGTGCTGGGGGCCTGTGCACAGACGCCCCTCGGGGGGAGGAAGCGTGAGAATGAGGCAGGGTTGCCGGGCAAGGGGACTGGATGTGGTGGCCCTGGGGTCCAAGGCTGATGGAGACTGTCTGACCTCGTCCAGCGGCGGGACAGGTGTGTGCCTGCCCGGCTGAGACTAAGTGTGGGGACCTGGGGAAGCTGAGTGGGTACAGCAGGAACAGGCGGCGTGCGGAAGGTGCTCTTTAGAGACCGGGGCGACACCGGCACAGGCAGAGGCGGCCTCTTGGCACCACTGGAAAAGCAGGAGTGCTGACACCGGCCTTCTCCCCAGGCCTGGGCAGGACAATGGTGAGGCTGCAGCTTGGCAGCTGTGGGCGAGGCGGAGGGAGGGGCCCTCGGGGGCAGGGAGGGGGGGGACCCGAGCCATGGAGGAGGCCGTGCTGCCTGGCAGCTGGAGCCCCGGCATGCAGCAGGCTGTGGGCCCCTCTCCGGGAGCCGGTAGGGCCTGGGTGAAGGGAGCAGGCTTCCTTGTGGGAGTGACGTGAGCCCGCGTGGGGCCCCTGGACCCCGGGGCAGGGCTGGTAGCTCAGCCTGCCCTCCCCCTACTCCAAGCCCTCCAGGACCCATCGAGGACGAGGTGGGCAGGGACAGCCACCCCGGCTGGCAGCTGTCTCCAGCCCCCAGAGCAGTGGGTGTTCAGACTGTCAGCACAGGCAGGACAAGGCCCCGTCCCTCTGACCACAGCTGAGAGACGGCAGCCGGCCTGGGCGGAGCCGCCAGCTGCCGAGGCCAGCTGCTCCCCAAGCAGATGGCTGATGGGCATCTAGCCCGGCCAGGTGCTGGCTGAGACCTGGGACCCTGGTGCCCTGGAGCACAGGCCTCTGCTCTATAGCCACATGGGTATATGGTTCTTCTGTATGGAAAAGAAGGTAATGATATTACATTTCACTGGTTCTGTTGGTCACCAGCAATGTGTCTTCTGTCAAAACACTGGGAAGTTTGATACACTTTGGGCTTGGTCAGGAGAAAGACACGGAGACCCAGCATGCTCCTTACCTCCTCCAGTTTGTCCACTCGCCCCACCAGCTTGCTGGTGACCGAATGCAGCTTCAGGAGGTCCAGGCCATAGAACGCGCCCTCCAGCATGTCTATGATGGTGGCGAGCTGCGGAACAGGGCAGGTTAGTCTAGGGCTAGGCCAACGGACCAGGGCGAGCCCACAGGGAAACCCCAGGGACTGAGAGGTGGCCTCAGAGGTGGCATTTGTCTTGGCAGCCACGCAGGCAGACGCTGTCAGTCCTGTCAGTTAGCACAGCATCTGCCCGGCGGGGTCTGTGGACACCCAGTGGGGTGGCTGGAGCCTCAGTACCTGTGCATGCGGCCCTGGGGCGCTGCCCTGGGGCGCCCCCGGCTGCTGAGAGCCCTGGAGGCAGCGTGTGTTCCTCGCACTGAGAGCACCGGCCCTGGCGGGAAAGTGCCTTGTGACCCCACTCTGAGGTCCAGCTGGACGGGCACCGAAGCCTCAGGTCCTCCAGGGGAAGGAGGCCACGGCCCTGGCACATCCCGGGCTCGGGGGGCAGGCACGGGCAGAAGGCAGGTGCTTCGCCGGAGCCTCCTGATGAGGCCCCCAGCACAGCCTGCTGGACGCCGGTCTGCACCTCTGCCCCACCAGCCCCAGCCTTGAGTCAGACAGAACCTGTGTACGAGGTCTCCGTCCTCCCACCGGCACCACCAGCAACCCCGGGGCCGGGCCGCGGAGGGGTCGGTTCTCTGTGCTGTGGTGATGTTTCGCTTCCTGGTAGGAAGTTCTGCTGCCCGTTCCAGGGGCCCCAGCGCCCCATCCTACAGCCGGACGGTGCCTTCGTCCAGAAACGAGCTTCAGGGCAGAGCGTCGGCTCCGAGGGGCGGGCTGAGTGGGGTCACTCGCTGCCTGTTAAACGCCCCTCTGCCGACGGTGCCGACGACCACCAGCGGCACGTTACGGGCAGTCACTGCGCAGCACGCGTCCAGGCAGTGCCCACACTCTCAACGGCTGTCACCAGCGCTTGGGCTGATCCGCAGGGAAGATGTCCCCACTGTGCGTTCAGGGGACTCGGCCAGACAAGGGAGTCATCTGAGCGGTGACCGGAACCGTCGTCTGACTCCCAGACCCAGCTCCTCCCACCACCCGGAGGCCGGGAGCCAGACGAGGCTGCCCCTGGTGGGCCTGAGGGCCACGTTATTTAGCTGCTGGGCCTGGCAGCTGCCCCGAGCCCGGCCTCCCTGGCTCCATTGGCAAGATGGGCAGACGTGGCTCTCACCAGCTCCCCTGGATGTTGGGGCGGAAAGTGACCAACTGCGTAAAGGCTAAAGCAGGTCCCTCACTCAAAGGCCTGCGATCCCCGGGCACCCCCTCACCCATGGCATCGCCCCACCAGGCCCCACCTTCAAGTCGCGGCTGTCGGCCTCCCGAAGCTTCTGGAGCCTGAAGTCCCCCTCGCAGGGGTTGAGGGCGGAGGGTGGAGCGACGCAGGCGCACTTGCAGGACGAGCCGGAGGTGATGGTCTCCACGGTGTAGAAGTCCTCCTTCCGGGAGGCTCCTGCGTTGACCCTCCTGCAGGCGTCCTGGCCCAGGGGCCTCACCACACATTTGCACTGGCAGTCGGAGCCCTCGGACACAGCCTTGACCTTGTCATAGTCTCCCAGCAACTGCACAGACAGAGAGAGGATGGTAGAGCGCGTGGACACAGGCCCCTGAGGACCACTCGGCCAGAGACCTCAGACGCCTGACCGCCCTCACGGTCATCGCAAGACCGCCTGCTGACCGCGACCTTTCCTTGAAGGCACCGCGTGCCGCCGCCTCTTGTCCGAGGAAGCTGTGTGTTTCTCGGGGGCCTCAGCCTTTCCTCATCTTAAGGGAAAACCAGTGAGCCCCAGCACCCTCCCAGCAGGCCTTGCCCCAGCGGGAGCCCAGGTTTAGAGTAAAGAAGGAAAGGAGGCCGGCCTGCTGGGGCCGCTGCCCACACTCGGACCTGAAGATGCTCCTTCCCATCGCCACTTACCACCCTCCGCTCCTGAGCGCCTCCCGGACCGCGCTGGGGGCCCATGCGCCAGGCAGAGTGCAGAGGGAGAGGGCGCG